CAGCTCCCTATGAGCCCTGGGCTGCACACTGCGTCATTTTTGGGGTTAAGAGACAGAATCCCAGACTGGTTTGGGTGGGAAGGACCTGAAAGCTCCTTCAGTCCCAACCCTTGCCATCAGCAGGGACACCTGCCACTGTCCCAGGTTGCTCCAGCCTGGCCTTGGACACTGCCAGGGATGGAGCAGCCACAGCTTCTCTGAGCAATCTGTGCCAGGGCCTCCCCACCTCCCTCCTTCACAAGGATTCTTCAATCTGTGGCTCAAACTTAAAGACATTATTAACACAACAGCAATGCTGTGCTCGCTGAGGACTGACAATCCCCCAGGCCTGTGCTGAAGGATTTCTCTCCATGACATACACACCATGGTTTTGTCTGGTTTTCCATTATTCAGCCCTTGTGGCTTTTACCACTTCCCTTGGGAGCCTCCAGCGAAGCCCAATCTCTGCATTGTTCCAAACATTTCCTGATATTCAGCTGCTTCTTCCTTCTATTCATGCCCAGCAGAATTGTGCTCCTGCCTGGCTGTGCCCTCGATTGTTTGGGGTGCTCCCAGCCCTCTTAAACTGGGAGTTTTTGCTGTCAGAACAGAGGATAAATTCCCAAATTTCTCTTGTCCTTGGGATTTGCTGAAATTTAACCTCCCTCTGTATTTCTGCCTAGGAACAGCAGCCAGCCCTGGGCATGTCCTCTGTTGGTGTCTTCTCCCTTCATTTCTGCCCTGTGGTAGCTCTTCCCACCAGTCTGGTGCTCCACATTTGCCAGGGGTTTTTTGGGTTTTTTTGGTTGTTTTTTGTGAAAAACCCCCCTCATTTTCCTCTAGGAAAACAGCAGCACTTGCTGATGTCATGTTCCAGGCAGAGCCATCCTACAGCATCAGCCCAGGGGAGCTGTGGGGGATGAAATGTGGATATGGGACCTCCTGCTGTCACTGACAGCTTGGCTTGGGAGGGACCCCAAGGATCACCCAGCTCAACCCCTGTGCCACGGGCAGCACCACCTTCCAATCCACTGTCCCTGCCTAAAACCCTGGCTCCACCATATCTGGAATAGGAGCAGTCACCAGGATTCAGAAAAAAACCCAACAAACCAAGTCCACTTCTCCCAGTTTTCATTAAAACCCCACTCTGCAGGAGGGGAAGAACAAGGGAAGTGTTTTGGTGTCCCTTTGGGCACCGTCAGGCAGGAGTGATGTCACAGCCTGGGAATCAGGCTCTGGCCAGCTGGAGCAGGCAGGCTCTGCTGGAAAACACCTGCTCCCTTTGCCAGGGATAAGATTTCGGAGTAGCTGGATCCTCCTGTCAAAACAACAGTGTCCATTCCCACCGGGATCTGTCCCAGCAGAGCTGGGGAAAAGGAGCCAACAAACCCAGATCCCACAGAAAACACAGACGTGGGGAGTTTCTGAACTCATTCTACAGAAGAGAATAACCAGGAATTTCTTTCCTGGATGTGATTTCTGCAGGGAAACACCATGGGCTTGATGTGGTCGCGCTTGAAAATTGCTCTATGTTATGGAAAAGATGAAGAATGAGAGGGAAGTCTGCAAAATGAATCCCTTCTCCATCAACAAGAGGAATTAAAGGCTCTGAAACTACTTAGAGAGCCTTGGAAGAGCCAGATGAAATTCCTGCAGGACATGGAAAGCAAAGGAGCAATCAGTGCTGGAGACAGGGAGAGGACTCCATCTGCAGAGATGACTTTCCTGGCTTATTTGGGATAAAATAAAAACAAAGGCTGAGGACAATATGGGAGGTTTGGAGGGATATTCAAGTCCAGCCCTTGGTGCCACCAGAGGCTTCGATTTACCTGACCCAGCAAACAGCACAAATTTTTATTTTACCTTTTCCCCAATTTCAGCAGCTCATGATCCTGCCTTTGCTTAAGTGCATTAAATACAGAAAGGTCTAAACATTTGGAGAAGAAATATCCTGGCATCTATTGGCAAAAAGTTCTGTTGGATAGGAAAGTAATGGAACGTTAAGTGCTGGTAAATAAACAAACCGAGATTTTTAAATGAGGCCTTTTTAAAATTGCAAGGGGACAGCTTCAAATGAGCACTTCCCTTTTGTTTTTCTTCTCTTCCATCTCTCTACAGCACTTAAAATTATTTAAAAATTCTTCTAAATGCTTATTAAAAAAAAACCCCAAAATTGAAAAGATGATGCTTTGTGCTTCCATTTGATTCCAAAGAGATTTTTGGTTGCTGTGTTATAAAACTTTTCAAAAAAGGTTTCAAATGGAAGCCGTAATAAACCATGGAACATTAGGAATTCTGCAGCGTTAATGAGTTAGAGAATCACAGAATCTTGGAGTGGTTTGGGCTGGAGGGAGCTTAAATCTCACCCAGTCCCACCCGTGCCATGGGAAGGGATGCCTTCCACTATCCCAGGTTGCTCCAAGCCCTGTCCAACCTGGTTCTGTTCAGGAATTTCCTTTAAAATATTTTCCACCACCAACCTTGGTTTCTGTAAAGTGATGGTCTTTTCTCTTTTCCCCCAGAAAAATGCCACTATTACTGATCTTTTCCTTTAGTTTTCCCAGAAAAACCCTCAATGAAACACCCTGTTCAAACACAATTAAACCTGTTGGTTTAATCACCCCAATAATGATCCTTTGGGGTCACCCAGACACTTAACATTATTCTGCAGGAGTTGTGGTCCTAAAGCTGATGCTTTGAAAGCATGAGACCTTTAGAAGCTGTGCCACAGGATGATAGAACGAGACAGGATATCATGAATGCATTGCAGACAGGCAAAAATTTCCAAATACAACAATTTGAGGCACAAAGTTGATGTTTTGGGTTCATGGGGGTACTCCCTTCCCCAGGCAGAGTTCCTAAACCACTCAGATACCACCAAGCCACCCCTGGATGTTCCATTTGTGCCACAGCAGCCTGTTCATGGATTCTGTGGATGCAAGGCTCCATGGAAGCCTCAGGATGAACCAAAGCCATGCAATATTTAAGGCCCAAATGACAAACGAGTTCTGCTGGGGCAGGAAAGAGCAGGAAGGGAAGGAGCAATAAAGGAACAAAATTAATGCCCTGGTCACATACATTCCAGTGGCCTTCAAATGCCAGCTGGATTTGGGTTCTGCTCTTTGGCTCCTGGGAGGGCTCCTAAGTGCCTTGAAGTAGGAAAATTGGCACAAGAAAGCCTCAATTGACTGAAAATACTCAGCAGGTTTGACAGCAGAATAATTAAGTGTTAATCACCGGGAAATGCAATATGCTCCTTTTCCAGGCAAAATTATCCCATAAATTCAGGTGTTCCTGGCTGGCTGAAATCAATGGGAATTGCACATCCCAGTCCCAAAGCCACTCCAGCACTGACACAACCAGAGACAGCCCAGAAGTGTCATTTCCATGGGGTTTCTGTGCACGGGCAGCAAATTCTGCAAAGTGAGGGGGGGGGGTAAAACTTCTGCTTCCAAACATTGTGCCTTCTCAGCAGCCACACTTTACAATAAGATAACAGCCCAGTTTCCCTTGTTTTCCAAAATAACTCCAGATTATTGATGTCCTGCCAATGTTTTAACAAGGAAGGTTCACTAAATCCCACCCTGTCCCAAGTCTAGGACGAACACCATGGGATCAGGGTGGGGACACCAAACGGGTTGTGCAGAGATGAAGAGCCCAGGAGTCTGTTCCTTGTTTTTCCATTTTAAAGCAAACACTCTTCTGTAACTGGAACCAAGAAGAGAGGCAGCCTCCTCCTTTCTTCATGTTTGGCAAATAAACCTCTCTTAAGGGCACTGTGTTGGAAATGTTTGTACTTTATTTATTTAAATAAAAATACACAGAGTGGGTTGATAGCCCAACATTTGGCCTATTTAGGAGGAGAGGGATAAAGGCATCCATGGATTACTTTGAATGCCTTAGAGGGCAGCAGGAATATATTGCTCTGGGGATGTTTTCTTTCTCATCAATACCAAAAATGTTATGTTCCACAGGGAGAAAATTGGAATTTTCGTGTTTTTATGTGATCTCTACAGGTTAGAGAACACCATTATGGCTCAACCTCCAGATTGCACTTTTCCAGCTTCTAGTTCTGGTTGTAGCAGAAAAAAATGCTCCTTATAAAAGAAAAAAAAAAATCCTAAACCAAGTGGTGACTGAATAACCTGCTCACTACAACTTCTGGATTTAATGGCAACCACGGATGGATACAAAGCTGGAATCACTACGGTAGTTTAGAAGGATGAACTTCACAAAGGGCATAAATCCCATTCCCAATCTCCTGTAACATTTTAAAGAGTTGTTCTCCCAGGCCTTCAAGTTCCCAACAGCTGAAGACTTTTTGTCAGGAGAGTTCAATTAAACCAATAACTCCGGAGAGAAAGCAAACATCCCAGCCAGGCACAGCTGCCTGGGTCCGTTCCAGCAGCAGCAAAGTTGGCACAATCACCACATTCTGCCTAAATTCTCTAAGAGGCACAGAAGTTTTGGGTTAAGATTTATGCTGCATTTAATCTTTAAGGGTCCATCACTCTCCTCTCTAATGGGTTTGCCCAGCCCGGGTAGTTTTGAAGCTCAGACTCAAGATGTTAATCTGAGAAAAGGTTTCAGTGAGTTTATCCTAATCTGTGTCAGAGCATCCAGCTCCCGATATCCTTCTTTCCCTAAAAAAAGCTTTCGAATGCTGGTCAATGGGTGCTCTCACTCTCGCATGTGAATGGGTGTCAAAAGCAGCCGCACTTCCCAAGGGATCAGCATTTCCATGCAGCCGCCTGAAAATGCCCACCAGCCACGAAACTGGGTTTCTGTGTAAATTTACTGGTGATACTGGCGGGTTTTCCATCCTGAGCCTTCTGCCACCCCACACTCAGGGACAGCGATGCCTTTGGCCACGCCGCCACCATTCCCCCCCATTTTCCTGCCTCTATTTTTACTAAACAAATAAAAATGGACCTTTGCCCATCGGGAGCAGGAAACATCTGCACCGCCACCCTTCTCGCTCCGAATCCACGCTCCTGTTTTTGCGTTTCGTCGAAGCCGGGGGCTCGCAGAGGCTGAGGCTGAGCAGCCCGGAGCTGCTGGGCTGTTACATGAGATATTCAGGAAGTTATTTGCATGGAGGGATAAAAGCCTGTGGCAGCAGCCGGCTGCGCTGCACAGGCGACTCAGCCACGGTGGCCACCAGCCCAAGGAATTACATCCACCGCAGCTTCACAATGAGTTGTTTACTGGCCTTGGCTGCCTGTGGGAAGAGCCAAGGAGAGCGGAGGAAGAGGAGAGACAAACACAATGCGAGCGAGACGCGTTAGGGGGGAGGCTGGGCTTTAGCAGCAGCCCCGGCATTTCAGCCCTATGGAGGCAGAGAGGGCTGAAAAGGGAATAAAATGAACCATCCGCCGCCTTGCTGCTGCTGCCAGAAGAGCCTCGTCCCTACCTGAAGGGCTGATAGCGAAGGTAAGCGGGGGAAAGAAGCAGTTTTTGGGCAGATTCACCGCGCGGCTCTCGGGGGCAGCTGCCAGGCAGACGCAGCCACGCTTCTCTGAGTATTTGTAATTATGGCCCTGGAGAAGGAAAGCTGACCGGCTTTCCAGCAGGAGCCCAGCGATTCGGGGCAAGGCTCTGTTCCAGTCAGCTCCTCTGAGAAGATTTAAAACAAAACAACAACCCCCAGCCTAACAAACAGCGCCTTTCTAAATCTGCCCAGGGAAATGTTTGCTATTTTATTTCCACGGCCAACTTTGCTCTGCAGCTTCCTAATCTTACCCAGTGCTCTCCCCATTCCCAGCTCCCCCCTCCGCTCCTCACTTTATTTTTTTTAATTGGAAGGCAAAACAATTACGGCCGCGGGAAGGAAAATCCGAGCTTTGAGGAGCTTTTCCCTGCTCGTTCCCATCGGGCACGCTCTCCCAGGCCGGGTCCCCCGGCTAATTGCTCAGGAAATCCGCGCTGCTCATTGTCGGGCTGTCCTTAAGCTGCTAATTCCGAACTGGGAGAGGCTCTGGAAGGGAATCCATGGATAGAGCCCCGCGAGAGGGACCCAGCGGAGAGCCGGGGCGGGGCGGGCTCCGGCGCTAATAACACATCCCTGCCCAATGGAAAGCGTTTCCTATGGAGACCCCCAGGAGTTCCCCCTGCCCACAGCCCCTGCCCAGACATTGGGCCCATTCTTGCGTCCCGTTTTGCCAAGACACGATGGCAGCAGCGCTCGGCAGCCCCGATCCCGCTCGGAACAAAGGCCGGGCAGCTGCCACCCGGCGCGGAGTTTGAGGATGAGCGGCTGAACTTGCACAAAGTGGGATTTCCGCGTGGGAATAACGCGGCTCGTGTGCCAGGGACACAAAGGACTGTCAGGGAGGGATCCCGAGGAAGCCCCGAGCCGTGGGAATGGTGGCGGTGCCGGTAAGTTCCCCCCGTTCCCGAAAAAAAGCGGCCGGATTCCACGGCAGCTCCGGGTGGGGGTCTGGCGGCTCGGGTGGATGTGGGGGATGAATCCCGCCGGGTTTCACTGGAGATCCGCGGTGTTTTCCCTGCGCTGGCGACTCCCCTTCCTCCTGCTCCAGCCCTGCCATGGCTGCTTAAAGGCAGAAAGATGAGCTCCGAGTTTTGGGAAAGTAATTCCCGTGCGAGTTACTCCTGCAGATTGCATGGAAATGGTTCTGACTCCCAGCGGAATTCTCCATTGCCATCGAGATTCTCGTTGTGGCACTGCAGGTGACAAGTTTAGGACTTTTCTGCCCTGTTGTTTGTTGTGTGTTTGTGAAAAGGATCCCTTGGTTACAGCTTCCTTTTGTACTTGAAGTCAGTGTCATAAAGACACTTTAGGCTTGTAATGGGTTGGATAGAAATGTGGCATTCACCTTCGTTTAATGGAGGGCTGGTTCCCACAAACTATATAAAAAAATTAGGAATTAAGTTATAAATATTATACTGAAAACTTTAGAAATTTGATTTTTTGCTTCAGCCTCCATTCATTACTAAAATCTACTCCCTTAAAGCTGCAAAATTCAATGAGAAAAATTCAAATACAGCTCTAAAAAAACCAGGGTGTCTGAAGTAAAATGAACGATGAACAACATCATGTAAAGATACTGCTGTTTGGAAGAGAGAGGATTTAACACAATATAAGCACATGGAAGAAAAATTTGCAGGAAAAGTTTGGAGGTTTTAATGACATTCCCAAATCATTGTTTGAGAGGAGACAATTGTGTGTGGTTTTTGTATTGCTGCCCTATAGGAACAGAACAGCCAAATCCAGAGGATGGGAAGTGCAAAGTTCACAGCTCGGTGATAAGGACATTCCCCCCTTGTAGTACTTTTCCATCTTCTTGCCCTTAGGAGCATTCCCTAAAAACAAAATAGGCAGGAAACCCTGGTACTTTGGGGGGCTCAAAGCCTCTGCATTTTAAAAGAAAGCCCTGAAACACAGAGGAGGCTGAACAAACATTTCACTGGAATCCTTTGAGGCTAAAAATAAGAATCCTCCTCAACTGATAAAAATCAATGTCTTCCAAATTCCAGGGTCAAGAGCTCAGCTCCACACAGACAAACACAAGAAATGCCCCAGTTCTGCACTCAGCTTCATTTAGGGCATTGCAATGAGGCACAAAACTGCAAAGCTGCACCTGGGCTTGCTGAGGAGGAGGGATGGAAACATTCCCTGGGCAGGGAGAGGATGCTCTCCCAGCTGGAAGATGGATCAGTCCTGCAGCAGTGACCTCATGGCTGGAGCACAGGAGCAGGAATTAAAGCAGTTTTATCCAGAGCTTGGGCCAGATCCTGGGGACAGGGTGCCCTGTTGGAGGGGACGTGGCAAAGCAATTTGGGATTCTGTCATTGTGGCACTTGGAGCCATCTGGGTGGACGCCGCGTCCATGATCCATCCGTGCCGCTGCCCCTCGCCCTGCTTACAGCACATTTGGGATTTGGGGCTCTGTTTCCCCATGGCTGGGCTGTGTGGCTGCAGAGGTGCTCCAGGATCCCGAAGGAGCCGGCAGGGAGCCGTCCCCGCGGGCTGGGCAGGGTGGGGATGGCTCCTGGAGCACTCAGCCACCCTCAGTAGGTCTTTCCAGGTCAAGCCTGCGTGCAGAGCCTCACTCTGCTCCTCCACACGTTGCTCCTCCTCCGTAAATAAGGATCCGATTTAGTCCTGGGGAAGGGGAGCCACCACTTTGCACAGAAGGGAAATTCTCTCCCTGAAAAGAGGAGCTCTTTATTCCCAGAGCAGACAGTGGCTCTGCAAGGCTTCCTCCTGCACCAGCTCCCAGTGCAGCCCCATAAAGGGGGTAAAGATCCACCCTGCTCCGGAGCCAGACCAGCCTGAGCTGACCCTGGCTGCAGGAAAATTTGATGGATTATTTGTAATGTGTTTGGTAGGTAGGAAAAGGAAGATCTCTTTATCTTGGCAAGTAAAATTAAGGAACATTCATCAGTCCCTGAGCCCCGAGACAAAGGTGTGTTCTGGCAGCAGAGCAGATCCTTTCTCTGGTCAAAACATGAGCTCATCAGGCTGAGAGACCCTGTGATGCTGCAAAGACACATTCACAACAGACCTCTTCTTTTCCTCTCATAATATTCCCATTTTCCTTTCTTGAACCTGCAGACAACTCACCCTCTTCCTCCCCAGCATGTTTTACAGATGGATATAACCATATTTAGCAGGAAAAGCAGCATCCAGCCCTTGCACGATGCCAAAATGTCATTGCCTTGCCCTCATCTTATAGTTAGAAATGTGATTTCTAAGAAGTTTCACTGCAGAAGCTTTGCTGGCCAGCTGAGATTGGATATTTCTGCATTGTGGAGTAACTTCTTAGTTATTTTACCACTTTACAGAAAAAGCCAGGTTGGACAAGGCTTGGAGGTGGAAGGTGCTCATGGCAGGGATTGAACAGGATGGCCTTTAAGTTCCCTTCCAACCCAAACCTTCCTGGGATTCTACAATCCTCAAAATTTCCCCTTTTTTCCCTCAGGATAAAGCAATTTAAGAGAATAAAGCCCTGTTATATCAACCCCCTGCAGTAAATAAATGCAGGGCACAGATCCCTCAAGGTCCCAAACACGGATTTTGTCCAGACCCATGGACAGACTGGCCCAGCACCCAAAGGGATCCAGCCAGCCCCTCCAGCCAGGCCACCTTGCCAGGGTGAAATTGATGTTTGTGCTGCTGTGCTGGCACCTTCTTGGTGCAAGGCAAGGCAAAAAAAAAGCCCATAATTTCTGGACAATGGGAGGAGAAAGTTCAGCTCTCCCATTTCAGCAAAGGGAGCGAAGAGGATCCAGCCCAAGGGGATGAGGATGGGGTAACAGGAGGGCTCCACGTGGCTCAGAGGAGCTGAGGAAAGGCAACAAGGAGCCAAAAAGCCAAGGAATGGCCGAGGAACCACTGGAAATTGTGTCAGGGAAAGCGAAGAAAGGCAGCTTGTTGGGCAGGCTGCTGACTGGGAACCTTTTGGAACTGTGAGCAAATAAACCCAGGCCTGTTGTTGGAGTCCCCAGTGGCTTAGGGAAACAGGAGTCCCTTATTTTTTATGGGGTTTTTTTCCTTTTTTTTTTTTTTTTTTTTCTTAGCCACACTTTGTAATGAACCAGAGCTACATCAGGGACACGGCAACCTCTACCGCAAACATTATTCCTGGGTGAAAACAACCTGGTCAGACAGGGTAACTTTGCTTTTCAGCACTTCATCAGCTTTTCTTTGCATCTAAATCTTCTCTATTGAAGCCAGCACTGCCATTATCCAGCAATCCCTGGGGCTCCAAACAAGCAGCATTCCAGCACCAAAGGCCGGGCAAAAAGCCGCTCTTACAAGTGTTAAATAATGCAAACTTCGCCGAGAAGTTTGGGGTGAATCCCATCGTTTCCTGGCTGCGGCCCAGCCCCTCTGGGGGCTGCTGGGGATGGGGAAAGGCAGAGCACGCCAAGGGTTAAAGGGTGATGTAAATGGAGAGAGACATTCTCAGTGCAAACAAAAGGAGAGTCATGCCCCGAGGATCAGTGGCTGAATATGGGGTAAGGCAGTTCGCGAATCTCTTCTGAAGGAAACATTTTAATTAGCTCAATCCAAAACAGATACAGCCCAGAGAAGGCACCACGAGCAGGAAATGCTTTGTAAGTCTCAGAGGACAGTGAGGAGACAACGGCGGTGCTGAGCAATTAAAACAGAGAAAAAAAAAAAAAAAGGGAAGAGAAAAGGAGAGCGCCTTTAGGGTTCGGGCTGAGAGGCTCAGGTTTCCTTCCCTGCTCCATCCTGGAGAAGAATTAAGTGGGGGTCCTGCTGCATTCGTGCACAAGAGAAAGGGGCTGCTGAGCTCGGAGGGGTGTGAGGGTCCCCAGGAGCCAAGGCCAGCTCGGAGCAGGGACAGCAGCTCCCGGTGGCTTCCACCCCATCCCTGCGCTCACTCCCGGCTCTGAGACAGGCGATGCCTCCCCAGGCGACCCCACGTTTCGGGTTTTTCTCTGAAAAACCAGCTGCTGAAACCTGACTGAAGCGATCCGCTCCCAAACCCAGCTTCACACAGGTACGGGAGGGGATGCGGCAGCCGCAGCAAGGGCTGGGGACTCTCAGGTCCGGTGACACTGGGCACAATAAGTGTCAAAGCCATGAATAAGAGCCTTCCTGCCCTGTTTTTTAGGCTAATCACCCGCAAACGTCCCCATTCCCCAGGCAAGAATGGCCCTTTGAAGCTCCACAAACCTCCATGGACTTCAAAGTCCCACTTGTGTCTGCTCTTTCCCCACTGTTCTCCAGTACATCACTTAGGATTAGGAAATGAAAGAGATTAAAGCGTTTCTCCTTCCCAGCGCTTCGGATCGTCAATGGAGCTTTGTTTACGGGCAGCTGCTCCGCTTCCCACCCTCTAATCCCGGCCTTCCCTCGCTCCTGCTGCACCGGGGAAGAAAACTGGGAATCTGCCAGGAGCTCCGGGGAGGATGGAGCACTCACAGCACTCAGCGAGCTGAGCCCAACCCCAAAATTGGTGTCCCGAGCTATTTCCCATCCCTACACCTTCCTCTGGAGGAGCCAGATCCAGCATCACCTGCTCCAGCTTTCCATAAACCCACACTGCTGGCGCTGGGAAAGCAGAGGCAGCATCGCTGTGCAGCATCATCTCCTGCCCTGGCAGCCTCCAACAGGGAAAAATCAGCCACCAGATTGCCCCAGACCGGAGGTTTGTCCTTAAAGCTGCTGCCAGTTCACACTCTCAGAGCTCTCCCTGAACAAAACCAACTTTTACTGAAAAAAGAAGGTAGAAGTTAAGTGGAAATTCCACCGCAGGAACTGAGGTGTTCAGTTTTTCAGATAGAAGAAGGTTTTGGTTTTTTAAAAAACATATAACAGTTTGACTTTATCTATTCAAACAATTGCAGTTTAATCTTATTTTATCTATAGTCACCAGTCTAAAAGAACCCAAGTCCTACAGACTTACACAGAATTATCATCTCTTCAAAAATCTGCCAAAACCCCAAACATCTCCACACAAAAAAACTCTTATTTGTACCTTCTGCCTAATTAAAGTGGAACAAAGGAAGGAGATAAATGCCAAGAAGCTGCAGAGCTGAGTTTGTTGTAAAGCTGTAACCCTGGGCTCCGTGGTGGGAGTAAGTTACACATCCCACAGGCGTTGTAGCAAGGGGGTGAGGAGCAGGGAGCTGCAAACCCTGGAGTGAATGGAATTCTTGTCAGGAGAAGGCAGAAATAAAGCTCTTGCTGTGCCCCAGGAAAATCCCGATTTATTTCCATGCCGGGGGCTGAGACCCTATCAAAACACAAGGACTGGTGCCATGACCTGGGAGAAAATCCAGAGAAACCTCCCCAAACCCCACTGTCCTGCAGGTTTTGCCTTCTCTACCTATAAACCTTTGTTTCTCAAGATTTAAGAGATAACCTGAGTACACACCATGACAATCCAGCAGACATCCTTCAGCTCTGGAAGGTTTTCCCATCAGGGCTGTGCCAGACCTCCCAAACCCAGAGTTCAGATGAACACACAGGGTGTCCTTCACGTCCAGACCGATAAAGTTCCACTCATCTGACATCTCACATGACTAAAAGAAAATGTGATGATGCCAAAAATGCCAGCCCCAAACTTCACGCTGGTGTTTTTCTGACCTCAGCTTGCTGCACATGTGGAGAACAGGATCAGTGTGGAGGAGGAAGAATGGGATAATGGAATGACAGGGGCTGGTTTTAAATTTGGTTTTTTTCCCTGCAGTAATTCCTGTTCTAACAAACAGCTCCTCTGGATGGAGCTGCAGTCTGGCAGTTTGGAGGTGTCTTGGGGTGCTGGGAAGAGGAAATACAGGAATTGTAAACAGGATACTCAGGCACCATAGGAAGTAACAACAACTTTTCCTCTCTTTTCAGTCCATGGAGGATGGGATATTTGTACTGTAAAAGAGCAAAGCCTGGAGCTACTCTAGTGAATCTCTCTCTGAATTACAGGGTTTTGTGAGGGATGGCTGCTGGAGGTTTGCTGATACCATCCCTGCTAGGAGAGAGAATATTCTGAATTTTATCACACTAAACAGGGGGTTTATTCCATTACATTCCTCTCCTCCTGGACTGGTCCCCTGTTGAAATATAGGATTTAAAGCTTTGCCCTGCCTGAAATATAAAAAAACCCCCACTACTTTGTCACCCCGTATTTACTAGTTTTTAAAAAATATATTGCTTTATTTTTTCCCAGCAAGGCAACAGCAGTGGTGACTGAGGTGTCCATGAAGAGCATCTCACTGCTTTAATCCATAGTGGAAAGGAAGGAAAGAGAATTTTACACTCGTCCTACAGAATTTAAAGCACATGGCTGGGTTTCAAAGCCACTTGTCAGCTTGTTTAAACACCTCAGGGTTCCATAGGTAAACAAGGCAGGCTGTATTTTAAAGCCCATAAGTTAACTAGACAATTGCTGGCAGGCAATTCCCAGAGATTAGACACTGGAAAAAACGGGATTTGACCTTGGGGCTGTCTGGAGCAGAGCAGGGAGAAAAGAGTCAGCTGATGGAGCATCCTTTTTCCTGTGTGAGGAGTATCTGGGCCAGGCTGCTGGCAGCACTTGGTCAGGAGCAAAGGTGAGAGTTCCAAAGGCACCTTGCAAACCTGGCTCTTGAGGAACTGCCAAAATCCAGGCAGTTTGGCAATCCAATCCAGTGGGAAAGTGGGGTTTCCACTGGGCTCCCGGGCTGAGTGAGGTTCCCAAGGACACACAACCCCTCTGAGATCTCTCCAGCAGGACCCAGAGTGGACCCTGGACCAGGAGAGTGTGGCACACCTGGGGTTCACCCACCCAGGGAGTCACATTCCAGCATGAACACAAACTCCTGATGGAGATAACAGGGAGTGTCTGCACTGGGAGGGAGCTCCAAGCCAAGGACTGAATGCTTGAGGCTGAAGGTTAAGCCAAAGCTCAGCTATTCCTGTTGGAGCTCATGTGAGCTTTCCAATCCAATTTTGTTCTTGTTTAAAGGCATTTGGACTTTCAGGCAAGACCTTTCCTTTTTTCCTTTTACCACAGATCCAGAGAAATTTGATTTTGGTTTTTTAGCTTGTTTCTCAATAAAGCTCATTTAACCATGAATTTTGGAGGAAAAACCTTCTCCACAGGAGAGACCTCCAAGTTCCAGTTCATCTTTTTGGATGTCCAAAGGATGAAGTCATCTGGGAAGGCAGATCTGGGCATCCTCCTTTCTCACTATGCCAGGTGCAAACGTGAGGTGCTGCCTGCTCCCAGGGTCACAGCACCAGATCTTGGGAATCCTGTGGTTCTCCAGGCATTCCCAGGTGAGGAATTTGCCCCTTCCACCCAGCAAAGCCGTGGCTATCCCAGCTTTCCCAACATTTGCCATTTTACCAGCAAGGCTGTCAGCTTGCATGCGAGAACTCCCAGGATGAAAACCTACGGAAAACATCTGATTTTGATCATTTGCATCCCAAATTGCCTCGAAAACATTATTTGTTTTCCATTTTATTTGTTTATATGTTGCCATTGCAACCTTTTAACACAACTCAGTGACAGGTTTGGAGCTGAAACTCCTCTGTCAGGGGTTCACTCTGGAAAGGATCCCACTCTGCACAAGGGTTTTCGCCTCCAAACTACTCCCAGTTGTAGCTCCTAAATTTCTTAGATTACAAGGCGATTCCAAACTAGTCCTTATTTGGTTGGCTGGAGTTTGTAAGGAAAAGGTCTTTCCCTTCATGACCCAACTTTGCTCCCCATTTCCAAGAAGTGCTGAACTCATGATCCAACTCACAAACCCTCCTTGCTCCAGAGGGACTTTCCTCGAGGAGACTTTCCAAGGGATTATTCTCACAGGCGTTACAAATACTTGAAATAGCCAGGAGAGATGATCCAGGGAGTTCAGGAAGCACCTATGTCCAAGTAAAAACATGCTAACTTCACGTGTCTCCAAAGCTTGTTGAGTTGGGACAAAGTGTTATAAGAGCGTAGTCCATGACATTTCCCAAACTTCACATTCCAAACCTCGACAAAGAGTAGGAATGAAAAGCAGCTGTTGGTACAGCTTAGAGAAATTTTTCTTGGGAAAGTTTTACACTTGCAAAAAAATTCCTTTTGGAAGTAATACCCATCTGCAGACATTTTTAAGCAGGGAAAAAAAAAAGGAAACATGGCTTTGGGAAGTGTTTTTGGTAAATATTTCTGAACTACAACAGTTTTCCACTTTGGAAAACATGTGTATGGATGTTCCTATTTTCATTTAGGAAAAAAGGCAAAGCAACTCTTCTTTATCATAGATTTTGGTGGGTTTTTAAAATATTTTTGCATCAAAAAAGGTTGAAAATCCAACCTGCCTTTGTGCACCGAAAAAAAGGCAAAACAGCTCTTCTTTATCATAGATTTTGGATAATATTTTAAAATATTTTTGCATCAAAAAAGGTTGAAAATCCAACCTGCCTTTGTGCACAGTTTAAGCAAACACTACAACTTTCTGCTTTTCTCCTCCTTTACAGGTTTAGGGCAAAATTTCAGATGTTTAATCCTGTTAAATTTCTTTCCAAACATAATGGGCCAATTATATCTCAGATTTTAAAGAAAAACCTTTCCAAGGGGAATGTTTGAATTATCACAGAACTGTTTGTGTTGGAAAGGACCTTAACGCCCTTCTTGTTCCAACCCCTGCCATGGACAGGGACACCTTCCACAGACCTGGCTGCTCAGAACAATCACTTTCCTTCAAACAGGAGGATGAGGGAGGGATGGAAGGAAAGAAAAGACCAGATTCAGTAAATTCCGTCTCCAACTGGGGAAAAAACCCAATAATAATGGAATTTATAAAGACTCGCTTGAAAACTAATTCCTGCTTTTGTTTGCACATCCATTAATTTGGGAATTTCTCTTGCACAGTCACTTTGGTTCAAGACTGATGGCAGTTCTCTCTCACTCTCTCCTTTAGGATGAAAGGATCCATGAGGGAGATGTGGTAGGAAGGAGTCCAGCCGCCTCCTTGGAATGTGTTCCTTCGGGAAGGGACGAGCTCCCTGCCTTATTTTATGGATGTCACTGAAGTAGACTTTGAAGACCTTTGGAAGCCCATCCCAGACTTGGCATGGGAAACCACAGCAACAACCATACCTGCCTGACAGATGATTCCTTCAAGTACAACCTGTACGGAGCCGTGTACAGCGTGGTCTTCATCCTTGGCTTGATCACAAACTGCGCCTCCCTCTTCGTTTTCCTCTTCCGGATGAAGATGCGGAGCGAGACGGCCATTTTCATGACCAACCTGGCGATTTCAGACTTGCTTTTTGTGTTCACTTTGCCCTTCAAGATTTTTTACAACTTCAACAGGCACTGGCCCTTCGGGGACAGCCTGTGCAAGATCTCGGGCACGGCGTTCCTCACCAACATCTACGGGAGCATGTTGTTCCTCACCTGTATCAGCGTGGATCGCTTCCTGGCCATCGTGTATCCCTTCCGCTCCCGCACCATCCGCACCCGGAGGAATTCCGCCATCGTTTGCGCTGGCGTTTGGATCCTGGTCCTCAGCGGCGGAATTTCGGCCTCGCTGTTCTCCACGACCAATGTGTCCAACACCAGCACCACCTGTTTCGAAGGGTTCTCCAAAAGGATCTGGAAAACCTACCTGTCCAAGATCACCATATTTATTGAGGTGGTGGGATTCATCATCCCTCTGCTGCTCAACCTCACATGCTCCTCGCTGGTTCTCCGGACTTTACGGAAGCCGGCCACCCTGTCCCAGATTGGGACGAACAAGGAGAAAGTGCTGAAGATGATCATCGTGCACGTGGCCATTTTTGTTGTGTGCTTTGTCCCCTACAACTCCATCCTGTTCCTGTACGCGCTCGTGCGCTCCCAGGCCATCGCCAACTGCTCCCTGGAGAGGTTTGCCAGGACCATGTATCCCATCACGTTGTGCATCGCCACCCTCAACTGCTGCTTTGACCCCTTCATCTACTACTTCACCTCTGAGTCCTTCCAGAAGTCCTTCAACATCAAAACCCAGATCAAAATGGATTCTCTTTTCAAGACAGAGATGCCGCTCACAAAGACGGCGCTGCCGGCGCCGCAGGATGAGATCAGTGACCAGGCTATCACCAACGGAGGAGATCCCACATCTGAATCCCATTTCTAGGGAGATGTTTACACAGGGAGTCACCCCCCATTAACTCCTGATTAACACCACGTGGCAAAGAGCAGCTCCAGAAAATGGGGGTTCACACGTGGGGTTAATGAAGAAAAGCTGCTGGGGACGACGGATCCTCGCACTGGGATGGTCCCATCATGTTCCACAGGTGAACACAAAGTATGAAAATCCCAATGGATCTCCCTTTGGAGATTATGGATAGGCTACAACACATGCATCAACTCAGGAGGGAACAGAACAGGTTCTTTAACCAGAAGATGCCAACATTTGGCATTTTTCCCCCTCAGCAGTTGACATGGGACCAGTTGGGAAATAGAAAGTTTCATTTTTTTAGAGATTACTGCCAATATTTCTGCCTTCTGCAGGTGCATCCTCATCCTCATATGTTAACTCAGTAACTTCCCACGATATGTATGTTTGCTTACAAAGGCATAATAAAAGCTTGTGGCTTTTCCTTACTCCACTGCCAGAGTGCAGAGCCTGGTTTTCCTAGAGACTGGAATTTATGGAGAGCTTTGAAGTGTAAATAATTTTTTAGCAATTAGGCAAAAGAGTTGCTTGGTGACAGAAAAGATAATAAGAAAAAAAGATAATTATTATTACAGTTTTGAAAGATTAAGTTTCATTTTTATCAGATTAAGCTGTCATTTAATTTATTTGATTACTTTTAATGCCACATCTGGGGAGGAGTAAAGAGCTCATTAATGATCTGTTGCACCTGGGCTTTTATATCCCAGGGGATTAAATGACTATTTCTGGGAAGGGCTGGACTGTAAAGTCAGCTGGAGAAGGGCCTGAAACTCCAGAGTTCTTCCAAGGGCAAAGCTTCTATCCAGAAGCTGAGGCAGCTGAAGCCCAGGAGTGCTGACCCCACTGAAATATGGACAAGTGGTGTCACAGCACCCAATTGAGGGAGGATCTGTGATTGCTTAATGGGTTTTTAGGGCCTCAAGGTAACTCAAAAACCAATTTGCTGCACTCTTTTCTTAGCTGGTTACAGCAATATTGTCTTGTTTTCCAATTAATTTATTACCTTTCTTTTTATAGATTGCAGAAATATATGGAAAATTAATTATTTGTATGTGTTGCATTTTACCACCTGGTTCCTTTCTCCAGCTCTTGGCTCGTGTTTGAAGCTTTACAGCCCTTCCCAGGCTGGTTCATTCTTAAGTGTAAGACACAGAAATGAGGAGAACAATTTCATTTGAAAAAAATATGAAGTTACAACTTGTTAGCTACATTACCATGGCAAAGCTACTTCTAGGGAATTATTGCCAAAAAAAGAGACAAATTATTAATTGAGCAGATGTTTTCCACTCAACTCTATTTTAAGTCTGTCTGATGAAGCCTCATGAGATATCAGAGAAGGACCTCAAATGTGATCATTTAAAGCAACAGAGGTTTAAGTGTGAGAAGAATTCAACTGTAAAATGTTAATGCTTCCAAGGGAATATTTATTTAGCACTGCATTCACTTTGAATAAAGAAGTCAGTGGCTAACCAAGGTTGAGAGACCCCAAAAATGATTCTATTTCAGCCCTAAAATGTCACTTACTGGAGAAAAGCATATGATCAACTCATTATACACAGAGAACATGAGAGCAGCCAAAATATTCTATTTCAGCTCTGAGTTACAGCAACATTTACTGGAAACTTGCACACAGGACTGGCTTGGGAGGCTTTTCTGGAGATTAAATCCACAGACAATTGCACTTTGGAGCAGAAGAATGTGAAAACAGGGAGAGTTAATTGAAAAAAGTTGGTGGAATGAGGTCAGTGTGGCAGGACAAGGGATAGGCTATGGCAGGGAATTTGTCAGCAGCTGGGAAAGGTTCACCTCCAGCCCAGGGGATGAGCTGGGCTTTAGGAAGCAGCAATATTTGCCATTTAACCAGTGCCTTGTCCCTTTTCCTGCCTGTGCCCCTTTTCCTCCTGCATCCAAACTCTCCACAGGGAATTTTAAAATCCATATTTCCTTTGGCTGTTCAGCCCATCTCAAACCTTGCCATGAAATGAGTGCATTTCAGAGAAGTTGTTCCCTTTGGATCAAAAAGGCAAAGAGGGATTTGCCAGGCTTCCCTACAGGCAGGGTTCTCCCTAAGGAGCAAATCCTTCACCCCATGGCAGAGAGGAGGGTTGGGAACCATCAGCAGCTCTGACACACCCCAAACTCTGTGAGAAATGGGGCATCCCATCCCAAACCCTGCCAGGAACTGGACTTAATGAGACACAAGCTGCATTTTTTAGGGATGAGAGAGGGAAGGAAAAAGAGCAAGAAGAATTCATTAACAAACTTAATTTCTAGGGGTGGGAGAGAGAAGGAACGAGAGTGAGAAGGATTCACTAAAAAACTGAGGGTGCATTTAGAACCACAGAACATCCCAAGCTGGAAGTGACCCACAAGGATCATGGAAATCCAACTCCTGGCCCTGCACAGGACAGCCCCAGGAATCTCACCCTGTGCCTAAAAACATCTTCCTCCTTGCAAGGAAATGATTTGGAACATAAGAAAATGCTCTTCTCTGAGGCAAAGCCCTGCTTAATTCAGATTTACAGAGATGAGAAACCTGTTTACACTCAGCTTGCTCTCAGCAGGCAACATCAACTGCCAGCTTGGAAATCTTAATTTAAAGCTGCTGCTTTACACTTGCAAAGCAAGAAGATTCCAGAGGTTGTGGGGTTTGGGAGCTTTGTGGGACAGGGCTGTTCTCATGCCCGGTGGCTGCAGAATCTCTCATTTTCAGAGTCCTGAGATGCCTTCTGCTCTGGGTGTGCTCCACAGGCCTTCCTCTGGTAAAATCCAAGGGAAGAAAGAAAAATCCAGGCTAGAAACCACTGTCTGGGCTTCTGAAGGAAATGGTGGAAGAGAGGAGGGAAAGAACTGCCTGGGACTGGACAAGCTCCAGGCCCCACATCCATGGCCTGCCTGTAATCCCAGCATAATGGGTGTCTTTTTGGGAGCCAAACCAGTGCCAATGCTTACAAATTTCTGTTTGCAGTTTTAAGGGCAAGAGCTGTGGTGGATACTCTCACATAAAATGTAATCCTATCATCCTGTGCCAAAATGTCAACTGAAAAGATCCATTATTTTGTAATTTAAGACCTCATAAATTATATGGAGATCACATAATGACTGACACTCACATCTGCTGGGACAGGTCTTGACTAATCTGTTTTTTTCTAGGTCAGGTACACCGAGTACACACTCCATGGTTTGTGGATAAATAACCAATTATGCATTGAGAGAGAGGAAAAGTCATTTTTCAGATGTCAGCAAAGCCAGGCTGGGAGGAGAGGGTGGCAGAAAAGTGGATTCCCAGCTTTTCTGGCTGAGGGGCAGCTGAGTGTTCCTCCCCCTGACAAAGGGCTGCTGTCAGCAAAGACAACACCACAACTTCTAGTTTAAAAACAAAATCAAATTAATTAAAAGTCACTGCCTTTAGCTGAGGCTGAGACAGGACCCAGAGATCCTAAACAAACATTAATCATGGATTTCCTTGCTCCCAGCCAGCTCCCTGTTCCCGTTCCCCAGTCCTCCCACAACATTCATTCACCAGCTTTGCAACCCATGGCCCAGCTGGAAAAGCTGCAGCTCCAAAAGGCTCCTGGGCCCCCTGCCCAGCCCAAACCCACCCTGGGATTCCCACACCTGTGAAATTCTGTGCCAATCCACAGGGGGAAGCAGGGCTTTGTTCTCCAGTCCCAGGGAAACTCCTCTTGGTGCCACCACAGCCCCTACAATGGGTGAAAGGTGCCAGGTCTTGGGTAAATCTTGTGAAAATCTCCACTGGCTTTACACAATCAGTGCAAACCACCCAGAGCCACATCTGTGAACCACAAGGGCAAAGAGGCAGTACAAATCAGGTATAAAAGTCATGGATTAGCTCTTGGATGAGCCAGAGGGAGGGAAAGTTCTTGTGCTGCACATGCACATCAGCCAGCCAGGCTCTGCTCCTATCCCTGCTCCCTGCATGGATCCAGCCTTGAAATCCCTCTAAAGCTAACCCTGGGAAGTTTTTTCGGTGGTTCTCCCTGAAGTTCTCAGTGGATGAGGGAGGGAGGCTCCACTCCTCACCCAGCAAAAATAAATGGATGAGCCAGAAGGAATTTCCCTGTGCCAGAGAGACACAGCACCTCTGACAGCCTCCTCAGGAGCTGTGGCCCTGCAGAGCTCCCCACAACATTCCATGCCATTCCCAGTGGGATGGTTTGCTGTCCAGGCAGGAAATTGTCCTGTGAAAGTGTCCTTTGGGGCAACCCCAAAGCTTTGCTGTGTCCACAGAGCTCTTGGGGCAGGGTTTGGGGACAGGAACAAAGCAGCCCTCACTTCACTAAGCAGGTTTTGGTGCTCAGCATTAACTGAAGAAAGAGGCAGAGTTGTTCTCCATGGATTAGCAGCCCAAGCCTTGTTTTTGCTGTAATTCCAGGAAAGCTGTAATTTTTATTTCTGAATGTTCCCCCAGGCTGACCCCAGAGCCCAGGCTGGTCTGAGCTGTGTGCACATCCTCTGACACTCCAAGGACCATAAATCACCCCTAGAATCATGGAATTAAGGTTGGAAAGACCTCCAAGATCATCAAGTCCAACCATCAACCTGGCCCTACCATGTTCACCACAAATGTCCCCAAGTGCCACATCCACACATTTTCTGAACACTTCCAGGGATGGACTCTCCACCACTTTGCTGTTTCAATGCTTGACAACCCTTTCTGTGCAAGAATTTTTCCTGATATCCAATCTAAACCTCCCCTGGCACAACTTGGGGCCATTCCCTCTCATCCTGTTGTGACATTTGTACATAACTCCTGCATCTCCCTGAAATTCTGCACCATGGAGATGCCACTTGGAGAAAATCAGGTTTGTGGGAGGTTCAAGCAAGTGAGGAAGATCTACCCAGAACATCTTTGCTTCCCACAAGAGTGCTCAAAGCTCCTTTTCTCTGGGTACAGATTCCAGCCATGGGAATATTCTCCCTTTCCTGTTTGCTGTGTCAGGACCTGCTTGTGTTTAAAGGCTCGTTCTTCCTGGTGTGAAATCCCTGAAGTGTCCAAGGCCAGGCTGGATGGGGCTTGGAGCAACCTGGGATAGTGGCAGGTGTCCCTGCCCATGGTCTTTAAGGCCAATTCCAACCCAAACTGTTCCATGATTTAAGACAGTGATTTTAAGCCCTATAAAATGTTCACATTTCACAACAAAACATGGAGCTGTCCTGTTTTTTCCCCTCTGGAAAACATCACTTCAAACTAACACTTTAACATCACTTAAAACTAACATTTAACACTGCTGGCTGTCCTTGATTTTAATTCTTAAATTTAATTTCCATGCAAAACACCAGGACCTTCACACCCCTAAACCACTAGGACAAGCAAGGAGTGGGGTGGTTTCTTTTTGGGATCACTTGGCATATGTTTTCCAAGAAAACTGTCCAGTTCCTAAGAAAACCCTGGGCTGGCTTTTCCCTGCCTGGGGGATTTGAGCAATGTAAATATTGTATAGAAGTGACCAACGCCCATGTTTTGCACTGTTTGCTCTTTTCTGTATCTCTGTGGATGTGTGTGGATAATGAAAAAGGAAAGTTTTTTTCTGCAAAAACAGAACGTGTGAGTGTTCTCATTTACCCTGACTTACATAAATACATAGTGTTAGCTGGAATAATATTTAAATTTCACTTTCTCTGTAGCCCTCTCAAATCCTGGGTACATCCAGCACACATGGAGATTTTCCTGGAAACCCTCAGCATGGAAACTGGTCTTTCCTTTTACTTGGTTTGTACAAATCCCCCCACTTCTTCCATCATTAACCCAAATCACCTCTGCAGTCATGGAATACTTTCTTGGAACTCATTCCTGAGATCACTTCTAAGACCGCAACACACAGAAAAAAAAAAAAAAAAAAAAAAAAAAACCAAACAAAAAACAAAGCAGTTGCACTGAACCTATTTTAATTTATATTTCACCAATTTCTCATCTTTCCTGCACAGGATGACACACTGTTAGCAGAATAAAATTAACCTTAAAAATATCTTTTGACCACTGGAAGGGCTGTGCTGCTTCCAAAGCTGGCCTTGTGTGTTATCCCTGGAAGTGCCATGGAATAAAAGCCCTCTCAGCACCAGGGAGGGTTGAAATCTCACTCAGGGAGTCTGAGAACCTCATGGATGGCACTGAATTAGCAGCTGATTCCCAAGGGGAGGTGTTATTTTATGTCCTAAATCAATATTAGCTGCATTAGAGAGCTGAGGAGAGTGCTGTGAAAGAGGTGTCTCAGATCTCCTGCTGCACAGATAGAGAGTCTTGGGAGATCATTTACAAATTTTACATAGGTCACACAAAGAAAAAAAAATAACCTGCTTTAGTGGCACTGTGGCACTATTAACATGATGAATTGTGGCTGCTCTGTAACTGCCCATTACACACTGAAAGCTTGGACTAAAGGAAACTCCCCAAAATAATTCCTGGGATAAGCCCAGGCCATAACCCAGCAGGGCCCGGTGTTGACTGTGCAGCTCCAGGGATATTTTATTATTTATAACATGATCAGCACCACTCAGAGCTCCAGGTCACAGTGGAGCTGAGATTTGCTCACACAACTGTGGAGCCATCAGAACCCAAATTTCCAGCAAAGGAGCAAAAAGTCCTCTTAAAACCAGGATTAAGCCTGGCCTGGAACTACCGGACAGGCCCAGGAAGGGATTTGAGACCTCGCCTCATTTTCAGCTTTGGGCAGGAAAAAGGTTCAGGTTTATTAAAGGACAAATTTCAGTCCTAGAGTCCAACAATCACATCCTGGAATACCTGGAGGAGGAATTTTCTCTTTCTGGCTCAGGGATGCTGTTTTCCCCCTGGCACGGGGACAGCTGGAGGCCACAGACAGGGGCCCAGAGGATCCCACTGAAATTCCTGCACTCACCTCCAGATTTTGCATTGCAAATGATTTCATTTGAAAAGCTCCTTCCCTCAGGGTTACTCGGGAGAATAATTTGGCATTTTCCAGCCCCATTCCCACTTGTGAGAGATGACACAGATGATGGAAACATCCTGATCCAAGGGAAAGGAGAATACTGGGGAAATTTGTCATAATTTAGGCATAAAAGTGACTTTTTGGCAGTTCAGATTCCTGTCTTTTTCCATCTATTACCTCATCATTCCAAACTGGCAGAGCAGTGAGGGATCACAGGCAGGATTGAGGATGGGAAGACACCTGTAAAACACTGTTCTGCCACAGCCACTCCTTCCCAAATATTTATCCTCCAATTCCCCCTTTAAACACAACTCCTTCGTTGATACTTTCTAAATCCAGGGCTCACAGGACATCTGCTCTGTTTTTTGAGGAGGGGAGGACAATGACATTGATTTGGGAGGCTGCCTCATTTTCTCCTCTCCGTATTGCCTTGAGCTGTACAACACCTGCTTGGGAGGGCACATTGCCCCCCAGATCTCCGCAAAATAAATTAAAATTAAACAGAATTCTAATTTCCACCACCTCCCCCAGAATTAGGTTTTTTTTTGTATCTTGGATCTATTAACCAGGTTCCTGGGAACAGCTTTATCCCATCCATCCCTGTGCTGGCACAGAGAAGGTGCCCATGGAAGGAGGACAAGGAGAACTTCTAAGCCAATTTTGCAGCCTCACAGAGCTCTTCTCCAGGACAAACACCAGGGAGGTGCTGAAGTTGGACTTTTATTTCCACATTAAGTCCTAAATACAACTCCTGAATATTGAAACTGCCTGGCTGACACCACCAGCCCTTCAAAGCCACCTCATCCTTGGAGACCCGTGGTTTAAATCAGAGTTAAAGGGTGATTCCCATATGATTTTACCCCTTACTCCCATTTTTGTTTCATCAGCTGAACCTGTTTAGGTTTGCACTCCAGCTCTCACAACAGCAGAGTCTTTCCACTAATAGAGCACTGTGCCCTTGGGAAAGAAATGAAAAATACTGCTAAAAACATCCTTTGGTTATTGGGAGCCAGCAGCTGAGGAGGGGCAGTTATCTCTGGATTCCTGGTAGACATAGCAGGGCAGATTGAGGGAATCAGTCACAAGGCAAAAAGGGAAAAAATAATCAGGATAACCCCTGTCCAGCAGTGAGAATAAGTGCCTGAATTCCTGAGAAGTCCTTGACTTGCCACAGCCTTGAGCCAGACTGGGACTGATGTTAAAACTGCAGAGCACTTTGGGTGTTTAGGGATTGAAAAACACACCTGCATTTGTCTGTTCCCAAAACTTCACCAGAAATGCTGTATGGTTTTCCCATCCCTAAGGATGATGGCCTGGAATCACATCCTTGCTGCACCCCAGCCTGTGCTGTGTCCCACACAGTGCTGGAAGAGCCACAAGGGCAGAAAGGGAAGCAGGAAGGAGCCCAGGATAACTCCATGAGCATTTCCAGGAACTAATTCATGGGATTCTAGGAGGAGTAGCTTGTCCTGCGAAGGAGGGTGAGGATTTGGGAGCATGCTTTATGGCCGTGCTGGGTTAATGGTTGGACTCAATCTCAGGTGTCTTTTCCAACCTAAACAATTCCATGATTTGGAAGGATGAAGGCTGAGGGAGAGGAGGGAGGCTGTGTGTCAGAATTAGATCATAAATCTCCCCAAATAACTCACAGACCTGAGTCTTCCACAGGGGTCACCTCCCCTTGCCAAGCTGGCCAGGTGCCCAGCAGCTCACACCTGAACCTGATCCTGCCTCAGCACAGCTCCAGGTTTAATAAATCCAGGATTTCTGGCCAGGGAACAGGGCTGAGCTCACACAGCCCTGTTGTTTCCATTCGGGGCTTGGCTCACACCTGGCCAGCCTCAAGCAGAGCAGCCCCAACATCTGCAGGAGCCCCCAGCCCCAAAACCTCAGGTGCTTTTCAAACACTGCAGCGGGGGTTTGATGACAAACAGGACTTTTTTTTTTTTTCCTTTTTTTAATCAGAAAAAGCTGTGAACGTGTTCTGCAAACAAGTTTTATTGTCTTAAACAGGAGGTTTTATCGTCATCATCTGAGACTGGGGGAGGGAAAAAAAAATCCCAGGCGGTTTGCAAAACCATTCCCCCTCTCCTGTGAGTCACAGGTTTGACCCAGCCTGGTGGGACAGGAGCCATCTGACAACAATGGGAGTCTGGCACTTTGCATCCCAGAGCTCAACGAGCTCACGGGCCCTAAAAATAAACCCTGCTAAGCTGCTGAAGCTGAATTTTCCTACCAAATTTCCTGCTGAGCTGATCCAACCATCGTTTGACCACATGGATAGACCTCCTTGGTTATAGGCAGGGAGGTTTAATTAGGAAGGGAGGAAGCAGGGAATTCCTGTTTGGGTTTTTTTTTTTTTTGGAGGGAAGAACAAATGAGACAAAAAGAATTATGAGCACTGGACATGTGTTCCTGGCATTAGAGTTGCTGCAGAGTAAAGGATGCTGTGAAACCTCTCCTTCCTCCTCAGGGGTCTCTCTCTCCTTCCTTCCCTTCATCCAGCAGAGTTTAAATAAAGAAACATCTGCAGAAACTCCCCAACAGACGAGCCCTAATCAGGGAAAGATAAATCTGAGTATCTGGGATGTGTTTGGAGGTGTGGGATGCCAAGGGGCTTTGTGGGAATTGGGTGCCAAGTCACTTGAGCTGCAGATTAGAGTTGGCAGGGATCCCATGGAGCCTGGCCCCAAGAAATGTGCTGCAGGACAGCCAGCCATGGGAATATCACAGGAAAGGACACACTGAAGTACCACGTCTCAAAAGGGACATCTTGGTACAAGGGGAGTGCTAGGAGTGGATCTAAATTGCAGAGAGATGGAAAAAAATGCTGATTAGGTAGAGAAACCTGTGGTGTGTGGAGTGGGCAAGAGCTGGAATTCCCCTTGAGCTCAGAATCTCATCTCGTGTGTGGGAGCTCTGTGCAACCATCTCTCTGTATTTAGGGAGAATCCAAGAGTTTCCACTCTGACAGGAGCTGTTTGAGAGCTGAGAGCTGCTAAACCCCCAATCCCAGCCAAAGGTGCTCCTGGCTGCTCCCAGGCTGTGGAAGGGGTCTCTGCCCGTGGAACAGGGTGGGCTTTGAGGCCCCCTGAATCCCCTGGGATCCTATAAGGGGAGCACATCCTCTGCCCCATGGGGATGTGCCTAATGCTTCCCTCCAGGGAAGCAGCAGCCTGTGCACTCTCCTGAGTCCTGCAGAGCTCCCTGAGTGCTGCCTCACCCTGAGAGGTGAGAACAGCACCTTTATCTGGTTCCAGAGATCACCCCAGAGCTCTGTCCCTGTCCCAGACAGGAAATCCCAGCCAGCAAACAGGGACTTTGCCAGCAGCAGGATTTTCACACCTCTCCTGGGCTGCTCTTCCCTTTTGCTCTTCTGCTCAGTATTTCAGGGGGGAAATGGATAACACGGGAGATTTAAAGCACTTCCCCATAAAACCAGCTCAGTTTCACAGCTCCAGCAGGAAAATCTCCTCTGCTGAGGCTGAACAGGCACTTGCAGCTGGAGCAGGGGGAGACCAATGGCTTCAACAGGATCTATTTTTCCTGGCTTTGTCTCACTTGACTGCTCCAGAAAGCAGCCCAAGGGCTCTAGGCAAGGAGCAGAGATCAAATTTACTTCCTTTCCTTGC